TCTAAACCAAATACTATATTAGATCTAAAATTCTAATTTATTCATTATTAAACTAAAAATCAAATGAAATATAATTTAATCAAACTTAGGCGATTGAATCTTCTAATCCAATCTATTTGATCCAATCCATTTTAAATTTTTAATTTGAATCAAATTATGATTATTTTTAAATAAGATATTAAAGTGTAATACTCGATCCCAGAATTTTATCCGAAATTAATTTTAACATTTTAAATATATAAAAAAAATTATTTTTAAATTAATTTATCTTAATTTTTGTTGAATTTATGGAAAAAAAAAATAGATTATAGATGAAATTGAAAAAAAAATTAAGAAAAATGGGTAAAAATTAGGGTTCGGGGAGTATTTTTGAAAGAAAAATTAGAAACTAGAGGTCAAAATGTAAATAAGAAAAAGTTTGCCACGCAGAACCACTCAGTCAGCAACCTCGACGAACTGAAGTACATTGCGTGGTAAGGCATGCTGACATTAGTGCCACGTAGGTGATCCGTGTGCCCCGCAATCGAATGGCCCAGGATCGATCCACACGCGTGGACGGCCCGGATTTGTTCCCCCTTTAAACGCGATCAGACGGTTGAGATCAAATCGTTTGGTCATATGAATTAATAAATGACAGTCTTACTCGATATCTTGAGAAATAGTGGACGGACCGGGTACATAGAGAATCCTACCGTGAACGTTGCCTCATATCATATAGGGTGTCAATGAATGGTATTTTTGGTGCTCATAGTGGACGGAGTATAAGAACGGCTCGATTCACCCTCATATCGATGGGGTATTGAGGGATGATACTTTTAGCGCTCATACCGGACATGGTATGGAAACGACTGGTTAATTGTTTAATTGGATATTGGGTTCACGAGTAGAAGGACATCCCTATAGACCCTAAGGGGTACTAGTAAGTGGGTAAAAATATAAAATGATCATTTTTTATTATCTTATATGTGATAAATAATAGTGCATGAATATGAGTTTTCATAAGTTATTGTTGAAAAAAACTTGTTACACAAATATGGAATAAATGGTTTTCTTTATAGTAAATGAATTTATATTAAATTAAGAGTTTCATTGGTTATTTTTCTTATTTTAAAAATTTTCAGTTTTTCGTATTTGTGATTATTGCGATATTCTTACTGGGCTAGTGTAACTCATTATTTCATTAACTATTTCAGATCAAGAGAACTAAGATCCAGATCACAATCAACAAGAGAGTTGTGAATAGTTCACCATCTGGACTCCCTTCAAAAGCTAGTGAAGGTCGTCTTATGATGCTTAGTGATTTGTTTTTCAGTTATTTCATTGATTTTCGTTTGTTCTTTTAGAATGAATATTTTCGTATCTTTACTGGGTATTCTAAATTATTGTGTAAGAAATGTAAACTCTAACTCTATTATTTTACTTTCGCATTTAATTTATGACTTTATTTTCATTTAAGTTTTGGGTCTTTACAATTGGTATTAGAGTTGCATTCCTCGAAATTATTCGTTACACAAAGACCCAAGGAAACACCAAAAAAATGAATTATCGCTCAACCATTCCTTGTGAAATGCAGGTACAGATATATGAGGAGAGGAAGACCCCCACTAAACCGAGCAGCCCGAGAGGATTCGCTTCAAAATGATGTTGACCGATTATTTGAAATATTGGAGAGACTCATCGCTGCCCAGCAGGCCCGGGAGGAAAGGAGGGAGTTACCTGACCCTCCCCTACTCCCACAATTTGAGCCAGCCCTACAGTGGGAGGATCTTGAGTCACCCCGGTATAATCTTGCTCCTCCACAGTACCATCCAACACCACCACAGTATAATCTAGTATCCCGATCACATCACCTGGCACCACCACAGTGCAATCCGGTGCCTCCACCGTATCATCCAATACCACCACAGGTCATTCGGTCCCTTCCCAATACAATCCATTCCCTCTTCCACGGAATCCAATTCCACCCATGATGGACTCAATCTACATTAAAAGGTACAAAAGACAAAACTTATCTACTTTTGTTTGGGCATCTTCCTTTGAAGAAAATGAGTACTGGTTAGTTGAGATAGAGAAAGCTTTCACGACTCTTAGGGTAGTTTCCGAACAGAGAGTTATACTTATCACCTACATGCTAGTGGGAGAGACAGGTCGCTAGTGGCAGCTCAAGTAGGTCACCCTACCTGTTCCAGTCATTTGGGAATAGTTCTTGATGACCTTCAATATAGAATATCTCCCAGAGCATCTCTGAAAGTTGAAGGAAATGGAGTTGCACACCTAGTTCAGGGTGATATGGCTGTGTCAGAGCATGCCTGAAAGTTCATAAAGTTGGACCGGTATTCCCCTAAGAGCATGATGGATGAAGGCAGAAAGGCAAGAAAGTTCGAGTGGGGCCTCCATCCTGAGATTAGACAATAGTTATATGTGTTCGAGC